CCCGGTGGCCCCAGGCTGCTCCCGGCCCCACGCGGTGGTCTCGGTGCGGCCGTGGGCCCCTCACCTGCGGGGGTGCCTGCCCACACCACATGCGGATGAGGCTCCGGTTGCGGTCCCCCGTGTCCCCCGTGGCAATACCTGTGATCACCGACTTGTCCAACTGCAAGGACACGTGTTGGAGAGGGTCCTCAGCGGCTGGCAGCACCTCCGGCCCAGAGGCTGGCCTGGACACATCACTGCCAGCCAGGGGACACCTGGAAAGCACCCCCAGCACAGCGAGAGCACAGCCAGCCCAAGGAGACCTGGATGATGAGCCTGGTGAAGGGCTCCGTGATGATCTTCAGCAGGTCGGGGGCGTCCTTCCCGCTGCGGATGTTGAAGGTGGCCACGACCAGGCGCGTGACGTGGTGCAGGTACCCGCTCACCACCTCCAGCGGCAGCAGGACCAGCACTGACAGCCAGTTGAAGCAGTCGTGCACCGTGGCGCCCGCGAAGGCCCTGCCACGGAGGAGCCGGTCGGCACGGGGCCGGTCACGCACCCGGCCACGCATCTGGCAGTGGCACCTCGACGGCCGCCTTGCTCCCTGCTCACCGGGGCAGGGTTGTCCCCAGAAGCCCCCCGGCGCAAGCCGCTCTCACCGTTTGAATTCACTGCGATCGCCGGCTTGCATGAGGGCCACGATGGTGTTGGTGACGGAGGTGCCGATGTTGGAGCCCATGATGATGGGGATGGCAGAGCGCACCTCCAGCACTGCAGACAGAGACACCCGCTAGCCCCGCGGGCCTGGCATGGGGGGGACACATCTCGCCCCCCAGCTTCGGGCTGTGCCCAGGGTGCCCCGCAGGGTGCACTCACGCCCTGAGGAGACCATGCTGACGATGATGGAGGTGGAGGTGGAGGAGCTCTGCACCAGGACAGTCACCAAGATGCCCACCACGAGCCCGGCCACAGGGTTGGAGAGGATGGCGTTGTCTTTGAAGATGTCGCCGGCCACCTTGCCTGCAAGAGGAGCGTGAGGGAAGGGAGCCGGTGTGCGGGTGCCACCAGCTGCCAGGGTGCCCCCGTTGCCCTACCTCCGGCCAGCTGGAACGCAGAGCTGAGCACGTCCAGGGAGCACACAAAGAGGTACAGGAAGCCGAACATCAGGGGCACCTTGAGAAGGGAGATACAGATGGACTGGACCCTCTCCCAGCACCCCAGCCCTGCGCAAGACAAGAGAGAGTGTTAAAGGCCGGCGCTGGCAGGGCCGGGGCGCCCTGGGCTCCCGCAGCCCCCCACCTTCCTGCGGCTCCCCCCCGGCGC